CATGGCATGGTATGCCTGTCGGCAATGGGTTAACTGGACCTTACTGTATCTATAGTTATAATAATCATTTTTATATAATGTCATGATTTAGTAAAATTCTATTTCTTACAATAGTTATTCTTGATTTAACAGGATATATGTTTATTTTTGCTTTTAAATGATCCTGTTTGCAAGGAATTGCCAGGGTTACCATCCACTGGCAATGCAGAATTTGAATGTATGTCAGCAAGATTGCTAGATGAGAATGCTACCACTGCACCACATAGCAAACATCTCCATATCCAAAGACATCCACCCACTGTATCAGTATATTCAATAATTCCAATTACTGAGTAAAAGATGTTATAGAATGTTTTTTGTAAATCTAAGCAAACATTCTTAATTTAACTCATTCTATTAAATGTATATAATCTTAAAAAGTTGAAGGAAGAGTTGTAAAATAAAATTCCACTAATAATATTTCAAAATTTTCATTTTTTATTTTGAAATTCATGGAAAATCAATTGCTTAAAAACTGAAATTGGTGTTTACTCACTTCATGAAAATCAAACTTACTGCCTTATACACTATAAAAAATATATATATGATGTGTATTAATATCAGTGATATACTCTGAAAGAGGTAGACTTTAACCCCTTCAATCTGGATGATGTTATCACAACATCATGAAAAGATTTGCCTTGAGGGCCAGGTGACTTGACCATGCCATCATGGGAAAAGTTGGCTGTGGGCTGGATGACGGGAAAGACTTGCCACGAGTGCAAAAACATTCTGGAGAGTGATTAGTCTCACTTGGTGTTTAGAAAGGAGCTTTTGCAATATTTCTTTCAATAAACGAGTGTGGAATGTAATGTCTATGAGCCATGACTGGAAGAGTGCCAGCTCCAAGGAGGATGCCACTTCCATGCTTAGCATCCTATTCCTGGCTGCCATGACCAGTGGCTTATGTTGTATTACAAAAAATTGAATATGACACCACTAACAAAACATTACTTATTGTTATTATTCCTGTACTGAGTTACAGACTACCTTGAAAGATGATAAGGAGTCTGTCTACTACCATCTAGATACAACAAATCAAATAACAAATGTGGACATTGGAAAATGGCAACAAAGCTAAAAATGCTTATGCATAAAAAGAGAAAATAATATTGCAAAGGGGATGCATAAAGTCTTGTCACCACACACAAGTGTTTGAGTGCACCCAGCCTTCAAGCTGTGCACCCATCAAAATGGCTGCTCACACAAGCCTAATGCAATTATTTTGGGTCATGTGATTGCCATGAAACACCCAGATCCAAGAGGTTAATATAATATGGCAGGCTAGAACTTTATCATTAGATAGTAAGGCAATATTAATACCATACTGGGTAGTGTATTGTAAATAAGGAAATATGAAATGTGATAAAATAATTTCTATATATTTACAAGTACACAAATCATCCTATTTTACACATTATAGCCTATCTAGATCTTTGCTGACTAAGGCTTGTCCTAGATTAGGTTTTACAAAATCTCAGAGGTCATTCCCTGAGATAACAAGGTTCAAGCACAACAAATAGTTTTATGCACTTCTTATAAGAGAAATTTAAAAGGAATGAGAGAGAAGCAAATGAGATAAAAGACAAATTTGATAAATCAGAAAAATCATACATTTTAAGACATGGATAACAAAAAACAGAATCAAACATCCTTATTATCTATATACATAAGTATCTGTTCTTGCTTACTTAGGATTTCACACTGGGTTTTAGCAATGTTTTGTAGCTCTTTACTGATCTTTCTCAGTGCTCTCACTTTCATTCTCTCTCTCTTTTCCTTTCTCTTTTTGTATGCTTCCTCATTGAAATCCCTATCCTTGAGCTGCTGCATATATTGTTCCATCATAGCCTGTCGTTTTGTTCCCCTTTCTATTTCTTTTCCAACAGATGGTGGAGGGACATGTACTGTCACCGATGAGGGAAAATTCTGCGAGCTGGATGAGGGCGTGTAGGAATCCCTAATGGTGTAGTTGGGGGACTCAGGCATATACCTTGAGTAACTGTCTGTGCCTTCCTCTCCAAATTCTGGTGGCAAGAAATCATTGAGAATCTGTTGATGATAAAAGGTGAATAAATACAATTAAACTAGAAGTAAAGTACATTTTACAACAATGTAAATCTGAAGTGTTTGACCATAAAGCACATATGTGTATAAAAACAGTAACTGAGGTGTTTGGATGTAGATTAACTAATCTAAAGTAAAAGAAATGTATTTTTTGTATTTCATATTGATACCATTTTGCCCATGATTACATGTAAACCATGACAGAACCATTATGTCAAACTGATTATGGTTGTCTAAACCTGGTAATGGCAAAAGTGATTTTTTTTGTCATACGTTTACAAAGACCTCAATTATGTTTCAATGTTAAAGCCATTTTTTTATAGACTTTACAAAATGTGTTATGCACATAAAGATTCTTTTCATTCTACACCATCAATCATATCATCTTAGAATTCTCTGCAACTGCAAGACAATATATCAAAATGAGAAGCACATTTTTCCTTTTTTAAAAATATTGAGTCTTCTTATTGTACAAAAGAAAACCAAACACTTTTAGAAGTGGGCAAATCTATTTTTTGAGAAATTTTGACAATACATATATTTTTTGTATTCATACAAATGCTTACACAAATTGGATAAATGTCATTTCAGGCTATTCAATTTCTAAATGACAATAGTGAAATATCATCATTAGTAAATTATTATTACTCTTATCATTTTTATCAAATTATAATAACAGAATTGTCAATATTATTAAACCATAATACAAGAATTATCATCATCATTAAATTATAATAACTGAATTGCAACCAATGAAAGAAGGCATTATGGGAAAAAAAAATAATAAATACCTGGTAGTATTCCCACTGTAGCTTTCTTGTCTTCTTTAACTTTTTGACTCTCTTGTAGCTACCTAGGAGATTATTCCATTTTCTTCTGATTCTCTCAACGGAGAAATTATAACCATTTTTACAGAGCTCTTCATAAACATCCCTGTAAACCTGGGGTCTCGTGCGCTGGTACTGTAGTTCATTGTAACGCCTTCTGATAAATTTGATGAGGAGGATGGTTGCATCGTTGTTGAACTCTGTGTCTTCTGAGAAAAAGCATTTGATTTAGAAATATATACAGCATTGGATGTTTAATGAAAACAAAAATGGGTGATACTGTAAGTTAATAGTAAAGCTTGAAAATGAAGTAAAATGAAAAACTGTAGCTTGTATGTAAGAAAACAAGTACTTTCTATCAAGGGAAGAGTGCCCATTCTTTGGCAAACAACTGGGAGAACAACAACAACAAAAAGGAAGAAGCACTTCTTTAATGTTCAATTAAAGATAACATTCTCATTTGAGAATATTTATATACATTGTTACCAGTTGCAACTTACCTACTCTATAACTATTTAGAATATCTTTATGGGAAAAAAAGAGATCACTACACTACAACATAGTTTTCAGAAATTTTGAGTTGTGGTCTTTTAACTGTTTAATCAAAAGATACTAAAGCCAAAATATCTAATGAAAAACATCATAAATAAAATCAATAATAACTTCCAGTAATGACCATCCTTTTTGAATACAGTGAAAGGGACAACATTGTTGTGCAAAGTCATATTCAAACTCAAATTCATATAACTTTGCCAATGATCTTCTGAAAGTAAAGGCAGGGGATACGGATCTACTTCTGAATGTCTAACTCTACACACTCAGAACAGCATTTTACCTAGGACGATTAGAAGCTCCTCAGCCTATTCTGATCCATTATAAATGTAGGTTAAGATGGGTAACAATATAAATATTACCTATATGCAAACTAAAGTAGGTAAATGGTAATCCTATGTATCCTCTACACCTGATTTCTTCAAAGTAAGGGTTGTGAGCAAATGGTCAGTAGGTTGGTATGACTCATTTAACCCCTTGATGACGGGTGAAGAAAAAAAAACCTCTAAGCTCTGGAGATCAATGGCAACATGCCAACTTTGAGCATGGGAGTTCGGTACATCAAGCCAAATCACTGGCTCATAGCGCTTTGGTGCACCGCCGCCACATATCAAGCAGTTTACAATTTCCCTGTTTTAGCCTCATGCCCTCCTGTGCTACCCGGACACAATTTGCGGGATATATACGGGCTTCCATGCATGAAATCCTAAATATATGAATTCGTACTATTCTGCATGAATACCAATATGAGAGATTGGCTTTTCAAGATATAAATTAGTGGCATTTACATAATTCTACAACAAAACTACTGCATGTGTTGACAAATGAGCAAATAAAATTGGATGGCTCTCTGAAAATACTGAAACGCAACCTTTTGTCATAGTAACAATGACATGAAAGCATAAATACTCAGTTTTCTATATATAACTGATCCCCTCCGCTGGCTTGACATCTTGGGTCAGAAATTCTACGTTAGTCATGTCAAAATTATGGCTGTGATATTATGACTGTCATGAAGGAAAGTATGTTGAAAATGTAAAATAAATGTAAACAGTAAACTTTAATAGCCCTTGAGTAATGCATATAAATAGGACACTTTGTCACCATTAATCTTCCCTCGAAGGACTGTCACTTTGACATCCCAGTTCTACGGCCTCTTATCTTTAGTCCCGTAAAGATTTTCATATGCCAGCCTGAGGCCACTGGCGTTGACAACAATTGATGCGCCGGTGGTATTTCGTGAAGCCACCCACCTCATCCTTTGAAAATCCCTTAACACCCGCCCTTCTCCCTCAGATTTCCCAGCACACGCGCCATTTCCGCTTCACCTCTCCTGTCGTCTTCCTCTGCGGCCAGCACGAACGCCCCATTCTCATCGCTGGACACTTCGATGGTCTGGAAGGCGGCGATGTCCCCTGTTTGAAAGGCCGCCATCGGAGACCGAGGAGGGTTTGTTTGTAAATAAATCCGCGAGAAGTCGAGGCCGTTCTGAGAAGCCGCCTCCGTCTGCGTCCG